GATGCAGAGGACGCCCGAGGGGCTGGCTACCCAGAGGCCAGCAGAGGCCTATCCACTGGGCAGGGCGACCCTCCGAAGGGACCTCCACGGGGACCTCTGCCTGTAGCTGCTCCCTGAGACAGCGAGGTGTGCTACATGCTCATGCAGCGGAACCCTGCAGCAGCCGCACTGCGTCCTGGGCACAGCCTCTCCCGGGCGGTTTGACTGAACGAAAACACAGAAACAGAAACCAGGGCAGGTTCTTCTTGCACAGGGCAGCAAAGCTGGGCCAGGCCGCACCTCTAGCTCCCCAGAAAACATGAGGGGGCTCCCCTTAGCAAAGGACTGCCAGGCTTGTCAGTCATGCCAACATCTCACAAAACAAAGGGCAGAGGACCCAGAATCATCCCCCGCAGTGGAAGGCAAGGCCTGGAGTGGCAACTTCAGCTGCTGTGGCGCTGTTGGGGCAGAAGGGCCCTGGCTTGGGCACCCACGGGATCCTGGACAGGGCCAGTCCAGGAGTGGGGTGGACAGAGACCCCGCCTACCCTGCCGTTCACCCTCAGAGGCCAAGGAAGCCAGGAGCCAGGACGGCCAGGCCTCTTTCCATGGATGCAGAGGAAAGCCTGGGGTGGGGAGGCTGGGTCCCAGACTCCAACACCATCAGAACTCCCTCAAGGGAAAAGAGCCTCAGCACAGCACCCCTCCAGGCCCCCCAGGACCTGAGAAGAGCAGACCTTGCAGAATGAAGGCTCGAAAAAACCAACCAAAACAGGACCCATAGCAAGCAAGAAACTACACCAGCTCCACAAGGGGCAGATGGAATGTCGGGCACCTCCAGACCACACAAGTTCCCGAACAGGATCAGGGAGCTGCCCAAGGGAAAGTCAGGGTCAGACAGTGAGTTAAGCATGAAAATAAAATAGAAGAATTCCAAGCAAAGAGGTAGAAAAATGAAGCCCAAACATGTCAGAAAGTAGAACACAGACAACAAAACAGAATGTGCAAAGCAAAAGGCGGCAACACAAAAGCCCAGCCCTTGAATCTGAGGAAGAAACCAGAAAAAATGAGAGGGAAGAAAATCATGAACATACAAGAAAACCTGTCTCACCAAAGGCCCGCTGAGCACCACTGAAAGCAAATATCTATCAAAATGCGTGAGAAGAACCCAGGGGAAAGGAAAGTTCCAGAAAGGCGAGTTGCTGACAGACTCATGCAAGCAGCTGGGTGCAGAAGGTGATGAAGCAAGCATCCCCCAACGGATGCTGCTGGACACACCCCTCTCGCCCTGAGCCCAACACCACGTGCTCACATGCTCAAGACTCACCCCTTCCAAGAGCCACTTGAGGGTGTGCTCCAACAAAACGAGACAGGAAACCAACGGGGACAAGCAGCTCTGAGGCCCAGTACTGCTGAGATGGCTGCCAGGATGGGGAGGCAGGGAGCTGCAGAGCAATGGGCCAGGGCAGAGAGGGAGACAGCTCCTGGAGAAAGGACCTCAGGAGGGAGGGGCTGGGCAGATGTAGGGAAGGCTAGGACAAATGAGGCCCATCCCGGAGAAGCAGCACAGCCAAGCTCTGGGGAGAAGAAAGCACCACCAAGAAACCCTGTGGGGGCTCAAAGCTGGCTCAAAGACTGGAGTTCACAGCTTCTTATGCCAGGCCTGGCCTGCTGCCTATCCTGGACCTGCAAGCATGGCAGCACTGGCCTCCAGCAGCTGGTGACCAGCAAAAACCAGGTGACACCAAGCAGCTGAGCAGCTCCCTGCCCATCTCCACCAGTGCAGCTCCTCCCCTCACCATCCAGGCTTGGGGAAGGTGGCTGTTGCCCTCTGGGAGTTCCCGGCAGGGCCCAGGGAGGCAGAGACCTGACCCCTACCCTGGGCCCCACCAGTTTCCATTGTGTGCAGGCTGCCTGCCCCTGGAGGGGATCCACAAGAAACTCCTGCCCAGCCCCACAGGCCACCCCAGCTGGCCGCCACTCACCCTTAGTATACCTGACTCAAACTGGTGCAGCCTTGAGACAGTGTCCACAGCGGCCAACTGCATAGGAACCACTGTCCCTAGATAAGCCTGGGCGTGGGCAATGGGAGGGCACAGAGTTGGAGGCAGTGGGCAGAGAACCAAGTCCTGCCTTAAAAGCGGTCTCTCCATCTAAAATAGGGCAATGCCATTTTCTCTCTGGGGTGCAGGAGTATCAGATGAGGGGTGCACATCAAGAGCATGATGTAGTCTACACCCAAGAAACTTCTACCATCTCCCACCTACCCTAACCTAGGGTGGATAGGCAAGCCCCCACACAGCGGCCATCCAGCACGTTCCACAGCAAATGCAGTATCGGAAAGGTCAGGGGTTGGAGGGCTGCTGTGGGAGTGGGGGCAGTGCCCCAAAGATGGGCAAGGACCAGCTTGAGTAACGTGGACTTACATATACGTGTGTGGGGGGGTATGCAGCCATGTGCACAAGCATATGTGTGTATGTGGTGGGGGGCTCCACTCTGCCCCAACCCAGGGACAAAGTGGGGTAGGGAGAGGGGTGGGACAGGAGGCCTGAAATCTGAGCTGGGGCTGCCCCTCTCTGGTGAGGCCTATGCCAGGACTCAGGGTCTACACTCAGGAGGTGACATCCAGGACAGGAGGCTTCCCAGAGGGACAGTCCCCTCCCCAACTCCCCCACCTCAGCTTGTCTTCTGACACCCAGCTCACTCTCCAGCAGCCCCTCACAGAGCTGGGCCCACACAGAGCAGATGGGTTAGGGAAGCTGGGGGACTCTGGGCAGGGTCAGCAGGCTTGGCCTCAGTTGCTAATCTTGGTGTGCCCTCCTCCCCTGCAGTGTCTTTATTCAAAACATGGCAGGATGGGCTCACCCAGGTCAGGGCCCCATCCCTACCTGCCTCTGCCCCAGGCCAGTGACACCAAAGGCTGCAGATGTAAGGTCCCAGTACTCCAAGCCCTCCACTTTCAGGCTGAACCAATGGACAGACAAGAGAAGGTGCCCAGGTCACCAGTGGACAGGTTTGGGCAGCATGGTCCACCCCCACACTAGCACTCACAGCTACTCCTGGGCAGGGCTGCTGGCTGGGGGTGACACACTGAGCTCCTCCTGCCACTGGCATGGAGGTAGCAAGTGCTGTCCTCGGCTCTGGGAGCATCTGATGCAGCAGTGCCCAGAGGACTTCCAGCACCCAAAGCTCATCCTGCCCCAAACTAGCAGCTCAGTGGCCCAGCCATACAACACCAATGTGGCCACTTGGACCTTCCATGTGCTTGGGGATGCACACAGCCTCACCCCAGTCTGGGTCCAGGGTGTGGCTCTGGGTGCTCACACTCCCTCTGCAGACTCCAGCCTGGTGGTGCCAGCTACAGGGCCCCTGTCCTGCTCCGCTGCCACGCCTAGATCACCTGGCCTGGCTAGGACCCTGTGACAGAGATCTCAGCTGCCCCCTAAGCCCCTCCCCTGAGGCCCTGCAGCCCCTTTTCCCTCCTGCCGCTCTCCAGCAGCAGGGAAGGCTGCCCCGCCCCGCCCTATTTCCGATGACTCTGTGATGACGCCTGGCTGTTGATGGTGCTGCAGGTCAGCACTCAGCACCAGGGGTACAGGAGGGGCACGAGGCTGGGCTGTGAGGCCCCTCTGCCCAGTGCCTCCCTGGAGCCCAGCTCAGGATCTGTGCAGACACAGCCTGGGGGCCCCAGGCGGGGCTGTCTATGGGCTGTCCGGCAGAGCAAGGACAGCGTCCCAGGGGGAGGCGGCCTCTGGCAGACATCTCACAGACCCTCTGCTCTGTGGCCCTGGAAGGATGGCAGACTGCCCTTCATTCAAATCCACCGCAGCCTGCAGGCAGCCGCTCCTCCGCAGCCTGCCCACCTGGGAGGAGGCTGACCTTCAGCATATCTCTCCGAGGAGTCCTGGGTTTCTACCCCAACCACAAAAGCAGGGCAACCCTAAAGATGGTGTCGCTACAGAGCAAATGCAGACCTGAGATCCACTCCACACCTGCCCGCGCCCGACCACCGCCGCCCCTCACCAGCCACACCTGCAAGATGGCGGCCGCAGGTGCAGAGGCGGATGGGGTCCCCAAGGCTCCCCAGGGCTCCCGTGGCGCTGGGCGGACCTCCAGCCAGGCCTCCGTGCGACCGCGCTGTCCCCGCGTTGGGCCGGTACCAGCACAGCAAAGGTCCCTGCGCACCTCCTTCCCCGCAGCCCCGTGACCCGCTCAGCTGCCCCTGCAGTCTTTAATCCCAGCAATGCGGCACCTACAGAGGGGCGGCCGCCTGGGGACAGAGAGGGACAGGGACCCCGGGGACCCGGACGGGGGCGCGCATCGGGTCTGCGCGGGCGACGTCGCGCTCGCGCCCAGCAGGCCCATGACTTGGCATCCCCTTGCCGCTCCCAGCCCCCTCCGCCCTGCAGCCGCCGGCCCCCCCCCCCCCGGCGCCCAGCAGTGCCCAGCCCCGCGCCCGCGCGCTGCACTGGCCCCTTCGCGAGCGGGAGGGCGACGCCCTGGTTTTGGGGGCGGCCGGGCTAAAGGAGGCCTAACGGGGCGCGACGGGGCCTGCCATCCGCGTCACTCCTGTCACGCGAGGCGGGCGCCCGAGGTTGCCGCCAGTCCCAGTCGGGACCCAGGGACCACACCTGTTCCTGGGCGCTCGCTGCGTAGCCGCCAGCCGCGTCGAGCGGTCCCTTGTGCGCGGGGCTCCCTGGAAGGCAACGCGGTACCGGCGCGGGGCTCGGCCTGCGGAGGCGATGGGGCTCCGCGCCGCGGCCCCGCCCGCCGGTACTGTATGGTGCCGGCGCCCGTCCCCACCCAGCCCGAGCGGCCGCGGAGTCCGCGCCCCTGCTCCCGCCGCGCCCCTGCTCCCGCCGCGCCCCTCCTCGCCCACGCCCGCCCCTTCTGGTCTGCAGACCCGGCGCGCGGAGGCCTCTCCGCGGCGGGCGCCCGAACCCGCCCATTGTTCTGCGGACTCGGATGCGGAGCCCGCCGGGCGCCCTCCCGCGGGCCGGTGGTGCGGGGCGCGGCGCCTACCTCCCTGGCGGCCCCGCGTGCTCCGCGGCCGAGCTGCTCTGCGGCCGGTGCGGGCGCTGTGACGGCGCCGCGTGATGCGGCTGCGCCCCCGGCCGCCCCCCCGCCGGCGCTGGTTGGCTGTGCGGCGCCGAGCCCGGCCGCCAGCTGCCTCGTCGCACGGGGAGGGCCGGGGCGGGCTTGACGTCACCGGGGAGGGGGCCCGTCCGCTCGGGTGCGCCCCCGCCACCGCGGCCTGGCTCGCTCGAGCGCGCGGGTGGGGGACCCGGCCCCACCCGGACCTGCGCGCACAGTCGCCCGGCCGCATCCTCACCGCGCCCACCTGCGCCCGGGCACAGCGAGACTCCGGCAGGAGCACAGTTGGGGATGGGGGTCCTACACCCCAGAGGGGATGGAGGGGCGCGGGCTGAAGGAGGAGCCCGGGGTGTAACAGGTGGCCTTTGAGGTCCCTTGGCCTCTGGGCTCAGCACACCCCCGCCTGGCGGGATGACGCAACCAGACCTCTCTCCGCATCGCCTGGGCGGAGACCCCTGCCGCCCCATTCTAGGGGTGACCAAGTCTGCCATACCCAGCCTGAGCACCCTGGGACCTCAAGTCACACACACCCTCCCCAGCCCCGCTCCTCTCCCGTCCCTGGGGGCGGCCGGCACCCTTGAGACTAGCCTGCACTGCGGCGTTGGGCACGTGACGTTAGCCGCGGACACCTAGGCCACGCTCACCTGGGCTCCCCCACGGGCTGGCGCTCGGCTAGGCGCAGCTTGGAGGGAGGCGGTGCTCCCCCCTGGGATGCCCCTGGGCCTGGGCCTGGGCAGAACCCGCCCCACCCACTTCCACAGCTGAGACCACCCGCTGTTCCCACCAGCATCGCTTTGTGGCCTTTCCCAGAGCAGCCCGCATGAACAAAAAATTAATTGTCCTTCTCACCCTAGAAACAATAAAATCATCCATGATCTGGGAGGGGACTCTATTACTTCCGTTTTTATTGAACTTGTTAATTTGATCAAGTTCTCTATCCCTTAAGGCAGCCGATACGTTTCTAGTAAGTAATCTGACATCTGATGTACTTCTAGGAATTAATTCATGTCGCTTAAATTTTGATTACATATATATATATATATATATATATATATATATATTTTTTTTAGACAAGGTCTCAATAGGTAGCCCAGGTTGGCTCTGAACTAGTGCAGTCCTCCTGCCTCACTCAGACTCCCAAGGGCTGAGATCGTAGGCATGAACCACCACACCTGACCTGTATGTATGTCTATTGTTTCGCACTTCTTTGCTTTTGTTCTGTATTTTATTTGCATTTTGAATATACTCTGGACCGGGGATATAGCTCAGTGGCACAATGCCTGCCTAGCAAGTGTGAGGTTGTGAGTTCAATTCCTGGTACCAAAAAAGAAAATATGTATATGCTTTAAAATACTTTCAGAGGTTCAGTCTTTAGTTTTGTTAATTTTCTCATCCTTCCTTTTATTTCATGTATTTCTGTCATCATCTTTTTTCTCTTCCTTTGTGTTCTTTGGGTTTAATCTTTGGTTCTGTTTTTAGCTATGTGTTTACCTACCTTTTAACCCTCCCAGCTTTTGGAGGTGTCTGTTCAAAGCTACAAAATCCCTTCTAGAGCCTTCTCCAGACCTCACAGATGTGGTCTAGAATGTTTCCAGTGCTCTCCCTATCTCCATAGCTCTTATTGTCCCACAGGAGCTCCCTGGAAGCCCATCGCTGCTTCATAAGATCATTTACTTCTCAGTGGTATTTACTTTATTATAACCTTTTGTGTCTAACTTAGTGGCACTATTTTCAGACACAAAATGTGCTCAGTCAAGATCCTGACAGGAAGCAGATGACACTCCAACTTGGGTAATCTGAGAGTGTTTGATACAGAGACCATTAACACAGGTGTGGCCAGGAGGTCAGTCTCTTGGGGCTGGTGGTTTCCTGCAGCCTTCAGACTGTGGGGAGGAGGTTCAGGCCCTGCTCCCCGCTGCCTCCCCTGAGCTGAATGAGCCCCCTTCAGCACAGACCTTTTGGGGTCTGCTAAATGATGGAAAAAGACACAGTTGCACAGAGAGGGCCAGAGCCCCGTGTGCATGGGCTGCACCTTCATGGCCCTTGAGGCCTCCCTGGACCCTAACATGCCATGCTTTTCTATAAATTCTCATCTGTGCACCTAGGAGTCATCTTTTCTGTGTGGTGAGTGCAGTTTGGTACATATTTCATTGCTCAAGATCATTAATTGATCAAGACTTGGGGATTTCTGCCAATTTTACAGGCTGATAACATAGCTCAGTGGTAGAACCTCCCTACCATGCACAAGGCCTGGTATGATGCACCCCCCTCAATCTCCAGTTACAATGGGGGAATTGTACTTCTCCCCGCAGCCCTGCAGATGTTGCTGGATATGATCGAGGCCAATCTCTTAGACATTGAAGTGGTTCTGATGGATGTGCAGTGCCATTTTATAGCTCCTTTCATCAATAGGCATGCGTGTCCTTCTTTGTCTATTGTTTTGGGATTTGAAAAAAATTTTTTCTTTAGATGTGAGTGTCATAGATTAAGATGTCAGCATAGTTTTCTATAGTTCATATTTGCCTGGCATGTCTTTTGCTAACTGTTTTATATTAAGCTTCTGATAGCTTTTTGTTAAGCGTATCTTTTTAATTAAACCATTGTTGGAATTTTAAAGTCTATGGTTTCTCCCTTTAATTGGAACTTAATGCACATTAGGTTACATTTACAGAAATTACCATATTATATATGTGTGTGTGTGTATATATATATATATATATGTATATATATATATTTTTTGGCAACAAGGTCTCACTGTGCAGTTCAGGCTGGCCTTGAGCTCACTTTGTAGCCCACACTGGTCTCCACTTTGAGGTGATTCTCCTGCCTCAGCTTCCCAAGTGCTGGGCTTACAAGTGTGTACCACCATTCCTGGCTGTACTATATATTAAGATCTATTTTGTCATCTTGTTAAAAACTCCTGCTTAAAATTATTGTTTTAAATGTTTGAGTTTTCTAAAACATTTGAGTTTCCTTCTATTGATCTATGCTTATTTTTACTCTTTGGCAATTGCCCTGAATTTGACTCTTTCTTTTTTGTTTACCTGACACATTAGTCAGCTTCATGTTACTCGAAAGAAACACCCGAGACAATAGCTCAGGAGGAGAGAAAGTTTGTTGGGCTCACAGTTCTGGAAGTTTCCCTGGCACAGGCAGCATGCAGTGGCCAAGCACCTGTGGTCACCTGGGCAGAGTGCTCCAGACAGGCAGGAAGCACAGAGAAAGGCGGAGACTGTCAGTCCTGCAGCCCACTTCCAAGCAGGCTGCTAGTGACCGAAGGACTTGCTGCCAGGCTCCACTTCCTGAAGGGCCACAGTGCCTCTGACAGCACCCCAACCAGGGACAAAGGCTCTAACACGTGGCAGCTGGGACTGTCAACACGCATATGGGAGCAGCCATCAGGCTTGCTGCAGGCCCTGTCCAGCGGCCTGCACCCAGCTTCTCCCCTCTGCCTTCTGACTCTGCCTTCTGGCTGATGGCAACAGGACTCAGGGCTGTCCTCCATCACATGGGCATCAGCAACGCCCTCCCTGTCCCTCAGCTGGGCTCCAGCTCTTTTCTTTGGGACTCCCCTGGGAACTGCGTGGCAGCCACATGACTCCTCTGGTCCTTAGCATGTCCCCTTGGCTCTTGCCTCATATGCACCATGGGTTCACATGAGAATCATAGTCCTCACTCCCTTATGGACCCCAAAACAACAAAATGGGGGTGAAATTGTGTGCTGAATGGATAGGCTTGGAGCAGAATTGGGCTGGGGCCACTGCCTTCCTTCTCCTGTGAGCAGATGTTTCCAGAGTTTCCCCAACAGAGCAAACTCCCTCCTATCCTCCATCACAAGTGTTCCTTCCTAGCCTCATCCCGTGGGCTGTCTTTCACCCATTCAGCCTCTCAGCTACATCCTAGTTTAACCTAGCCCCTCGAGTCTGCCTTTTTAATGAGGTCTTGCCCTTGCCTCCCATTGCCAATATCGCCCTTTCCCCCCAAGTGAAATGCTCATTTCAAATTCTCCACCTGTCTTTTCCAGGGCTCACTTCTCATGTAGCCTGCTGCAGCACCTCTGACAGGTGTGACTCCAAACACAAGCCCCATCGGCCACCAGCCCCAACTGCTGCCCTCGGGACTCTCTGTGGTGTTAATGCACAGCCCCTTCCCTGGCTGCTCCTAATCAAAGATGGGGCATGGCAGGGTCCTTGAGACAGCCTTTCCCACCTGCTGCGCACCTCCCTGCTGGGCAGCCCCTTCAGAGCTCCCCAATAGCCTGGCCATGACCTCTTGGGAAGGGAGCCTTGTCCAGAACCCTCCCACCCAAGTCTCTCCAGCGTCTGCCTCCCCTTGTTGGTCAAAGGCACGACTGGACCCATCCTCCTCATCCCACCTCAGTTCTGCTCCCCAGAGTGGTGGCCATGCTCACCCCAGCATGTCTTTCTCTGCATCCTCAGATCCAATATAAGATGAAGACACAGGTCACCTGGATCAAGGACACAGGAGGAGCCGTCAAGCACCTGGACACGGGGCACCCTGCCTCTCCAAAGCCTCTCTTGTTCTGTGCTTGCTGTGTGGGGAGTTTCTGATTTGCTAGTTGATGTCATTCTTAGTAAAGACAATCAAAGTTTTGGTACCGCTAGCATGAACTTTTACCCTTTAAGTTGTAGGATGCTGGCTGTAGATACACAGATAAGAACTAGAGCATTGCTCAGAGACATCAGGATTCCTCGCTTCCTCACTCTCCACCTGTGGATGCAAGTGCATCTTGTAGCTACCAGAATGGTGCAGATGTTATGCAGAATTCAATCAGTTATTTTTAGGTCATTTCTCCACCACACCACTCTCCTCTACTTCCTGCTGCAGCCAGAGGTTGAAGGGACAGTGTCCTGCGTCCTCTTCTGCTTAGGTCATTTTGGAGTCAGCACTTGGGTGATACCAGGGTGTGGGACAAGCAAGGTGAGAAGGGTCCTTGGTCATGAGTACATGAGACTCCACAGCTCCTGTCTGCGTTGGAATCAAATCCTGGTCCTGATGGGCACTGTGTGCTCATGGTAGGACAGGGACTGTCCCATGGCCCCTGCAGATACCATTCCT